CACCATGTGCCAGTGATTCTAAAATTATTTAGACATTGGTTAAAGATAAAATATTGTTGGTCAACGTGCAAAACAATTATCATGGTGACTACTGTTTTAGACACACACACACACACACACACACACACACACTTACTCTATGATTGAAAGACAAATGTCATGAGAAGAAAATCACTTAGATACCTGCCAACACCAATGTCTCCACCTCCAAAACACTGATCTGAAAAACAATATGGCGGTACTCTTTGAAGTTGGAGTTTGCCACAGAGATGCTATATTTGGGTGTATTTCTGCCCCAGGCTCAGGGATTTTCAGAATTATTAAATAAATTCAAATGAGAACTCATGTTCAAAAGGAATTGGTATTTTAGCTTCATTTCCAAACTCTCCATTTCTGCATTTTGATAAGCCTTCTGGAAAGGAGGGAGGGAAGAAGGACGGGGAAGGCGGGGAGGGAGGGAGGGAGGAACAAAAAGCAAGAAAAAGAGCCTGTACCTCTCAGTCATCTCAGTGCCTGTTATCTCCCCCAAAAAGAAAGACGTGAGGATGGAAAAAGTCTCACATCATGCAATGAACTCCTGCCTAGCAGGGTTTAGTCCTCTGTGTTCTGGGCTTTGGTCCTTTATCCAAACACATGCCAGATGATGTGTAACCCATCAAGCTAACAGGTTTGGTTCATGTCAGAAACACTAGTTTACCATCTTCCAGTGAAGCGTTTCCTTTCTAGGGGGTAGAAAAAACCTGGGAGAACACAAATCACTCCTTGAGTATTAGTGAGGTGACTTCATGCATTTGTGCTCAAATCTGGAAAGAGGCTATAGTTTCAGGATGCTTTATGCCTTCTCATGACATGCAAGGCCTTCCCATCCAGCCCCGCGTCCGACTCTTGCCACTTCCTCCCCTCCACAGGCTCCTCCACCCAGAGGAGAATCTTAGGCAGTTCCCAGAAGACACCATATTCTTACCCTGCCTCGCCTTAACATGCATAGCTCCGCTCCCTCTGTCTGGAACACCCTCTTTTTCTTAGTTAATGCCTACCCCTAAGACTCTTCTGTGAAGCCCTCCTGGCTCCCCACAGTCTGAATGAGAAGCCCCCACCCGCCAACACACGGTGTTTCCGGAGTGACCGGGCCTTGTGTCTTCTCGTGGACAATATGCTCACCACAACTTTTTCCTCCTGAGCTGACAGCTAGACCATATTTGGCAGCCTCCAACGCAGTCAACTGTTGTCATCTGAGCTCTGGGCAATGAAACATGCCTAGAAGTGATGCGTAGCACTTCTGTGAAGAGAAGTTGTATTCTCTCTATAATCAAGTCTCAGTGTCTTTTTTTCTCCACACCCTGGCTAAAAGGAGAGAACTCTCTAGCCCTAGAGGAAGACAGAAGCACACATGAAAGGAGTCTGGGCCCCTGCATAACCACAAAGAACGCAACTAGGAACATGCACTCTGCACTGTAAGGTGACAAATCCACTTGTGTGTGTCAAACCATTCAACCCTTGGGGTTCTTTGTTTTAGCAGTCAGCCTACCCTAACACGTATTAGTAACTACGCACTGCACTACAATTCCTTTGTCGGTGTCTGTGAGCTCGAGGGGCGGGATGCTGTACTGACAGTCTCCCCTCCAGCTCCCAACACAGTGCTTGATACACAGCAGGGGCACAGCAAGTATCTGCGAGGAGAAGGTCAGGAGAGGGAACAAACTCATGACTGGACGCTGTAGAACAGGAGGAAGTCTGCCCTGGGAACATTTTGATCCCTTGCTGTCAATTAACCGAGATTTAGATGAATCCACGTTGCTTCTCCGCCCCGGTTTCTTTGGCTGTAAAATAAAGTTAGTTACACCAGTAGTTCAATTTTAGTGGGCATCAGTATCACGTGAAGGGCTTGTTAACGCGAACACTGCCAGGCTCACACCCAGATTCGATTGTTTTGCAGTGATTAAGTTCCCCAATGATGCGGATACTGCCAGTCCGGGGACCACATTTTGGGAACCACTTGCCTAGATGATCTCAGATCTCTTATCTCTGAGGTGAGGGACACAGTGATTTTCACCAGTGCTTGGGAAAGGTCAGGGTTAGGTGATCTCCAGTGTCCAAGGTTATGAGCCAAATCATGGATGATTTTTTCCAGAGTTTGTTTGGTGTTTAGAACTACGAGATTAGAAATATCCTATGTGTACCCACCATTTGTCTTCACAATGCAGAATAAAACTCCCATCTCATAGGACACTGGTAGACTCCTAAAATTATTCAAATTTTATTTCAATGTACTTATTTATTTAGAGAGACAGTACACGTGCATGCGAGCAGGGGAGGGGCAGAGATAGAGAGGGAGAGAGAGAATCTCCAGAACATGTCAGTGCAGAGCATGACTCGGGCTTGATCTCTCAAACCAGGAGATCATGACCTGAGCCAAAATCGAGAGTCAGGCACTTAATGACTGAGCCATCCAGGTGCCCCAAATGATTCAAATTCTGAAGGTAAGAAACAGCAACTGGGATGCCAGATTACTTGGTCGGGCTTTCAAGCCCGCTCTCCCTGACCCCTACACCCCTTCACCCCTACTTCAGCCAAGGATAGAATGTTGGGAACAATTTTGAACAAAAAGAATACCGACAGGATGAAGCAAATAACCTGGGCCCCACAGTAGGCCAAGTTTTCAATGCAGTAGATCTTTAACACGCTCTGTGAGTTAGGCATGATAGCCCATGATTACCCAGTGTTCACCATGTACAGATATTTAAGGACCCAGCTCAGATCACCAAGAGGTAAAAATAATCAAATCTCAGACTTTGATTTAATTGGGAAGACCTCCAGCTCTTTCCCACAGCACTTCCATTAAATGCACAAGACCAAATGCAGGCCACAACACATCGACACCATGACTCCATAAAAACACTTAGTTATCGTACATTTATTTTTAACATAGCACCCCAGTTTCACATCATGTACATTTTCCAAAGTTGGAAATTTTTAACCTACTATGTTCTTCACAGACTTTCCAACAAGTGTGAAAAAGAGGCAGTAAGGTTAGTTTGAGTCTACAAGTCACAATCCAAATATAGGTTACCCTATATTTATTTGTTTAAGACCAATATACATAATGTTCTCAAGGCCTAGCAAATGAATAAAATTCTGGCTAAGTAAAACATTAACACAACTTGTTAGCACATTATCATGAAAGAGACAGAAGGCATCAAATATATACTCTGTTGTTACTCATTTTACCGTTCAATGTACCTGCAGCGAAAAAATATATACACTTTTACTCTCGAGGTTAAAATATTCTCTCTCCTGCCTGGCCCACTGTGATGAAGACTAACACGGCTCTTCCTGCCTCTGGCTTTCTTCAACATATCTGTGCTGAAGACAAAGAGCATGGTGGTGCTGGAGAAAAGGGCACGCCCTTTTCCCAAGATGGGGACAGCTGAAGCCCTCACACAAGCTGCCTTAAAACAAAACACAACACAACAACACAACTCGGCTGATCCAATTGCCATGGGATGGGGTTCTTGCATCGGCGGCGCCATCCCGAGGGCAGAGCTCCAGGAGGGACCTTTCGGGTCCGTCCTGTTGTGCAACAGAGGACTGTCGTAGGCTGGGACTGGTCCCTGAATTTCCCTAGTGTTGAATTTGCCCTCGAATTCCAATCTGAGCCCTCTTGAAAGTCCCATGTCCTCTGGTCTTCAGAGTCATAAGCCCATTTTCTCCAGCTTCCCACAGCCATGAACTTAGCTTAGAGCAAGACAGGGAAAAAAAAATCACAAAACACAAAAACACTTTCCAATTTTTAAGAACAGACCAAGGTTTCTCTCAACTGAAACTCTGCAATGCCTTTTAGAAAAGATTGCTTTATCATCGTGTATGTAAGCAAACGTGGAAGATAACTATGTAAGCCTAACAGGAACTGTGCACCTGGGATGTGCTGCTCATACTAACACACTGGCTGTTCCATGAAGCAGTTGTAAGGCAGCCGCTGAACGCCTAACTTGGAGGAGGGCAGCAGTCCTTGGACTATGCGTGGCTTCTGAAGTCTGGTCCCCCGTGGCTGTTCTTTTGCCCCTGTCACAAAACTAGATGCATCTCTCATTCCAAACAAGCAAAGCAGGGTGGCTTGCAGATTGAGACTCACAAAGTGCCATTAATGACGGAGTCGCTGACACTGGCGGGCAGTAGCCCTTAGCCTGTGCCGAATGACGAGTAAGATGCCACCTGAGATTTCCAAAAAGCCACATCCCCACTTCTTACTAGGAATCCGAACCATACCGAGTCATGATGCAAGAAAAGAACGTAACAAAACACCCAGAGCTAATGTGTAAATTCAAGAGATCCTTTGAAATCAGAGTTTTAAAAGAGTACACTTAGAACAGAGTAAGCCAGGGGCGCCTGGGTGGCTTAGTCGGTTAAGCGTCCGACTTTCGCTTAGGTCATGATCTCGCGGTTCGTGGGTTCGTGCCCCGCGTCGGGCTCTGTGCTGACTGCCAGCTCAGAGCCTGGAGCCTATTTCGGAGTCTGTGTCTCCCTCTCTCTCTGACCCTCCCCTGCTCACGCTGTCTCTCTCTCCTAGAAATAAATTTAAAAAAAAAAAAAAAAAAAAAAAAAGAACAGAGTAAGCCAGTTGGAAAGAGAAACCAAAGTCACCACTATCCTGTTTAACGAGAGGAGAAAATGACCTTTCAACTGATATTACATTTTGTTCACATTCATAATGTTCAAACCACAGCCTATTAAGTCCTACTTGTCAATAATATGGGAAGATCTGGTTGCTATAATATTTAAAATTCTATTTTTTTAAAATACTTTTAAAATCACATTCCTTTGGTGATGTCTAGTCAGGAGGTGTGACTGAAGTGTGCGTTGAACAAATGTTGTTAGCTGTAAGGTGTAATACTGTAACTGAGATCTTTCCAACTACTGCTTAGAAGACAACATCTGCAAATGCCTGTCTTAATTGCAAGAAAAACACCCACTCCAGGTTATTTTCTTATTGATCTTCTGAGTCCCCATCTATTACCATGATTGTGAGATCGTTTAAGAAACAAGTTATCATTTATAAGCAAACTATAGAATCAAGTCACATATGAAGAGTGCTTTATGATACTTTCAGACATGGGTAGGAAATCAAAGGACACTTCGTGTTTTTTACTACTCCCCCTAAAATATGCTGAAATCGAACATTTGCAACCCACATAACTGTATATCGAAGAAAACTGTAACTTACTACATACTGAATTCATTTCAATCGCAGTAGTCTATTTTAAAAACAAACGCCCATAAGGAATACAGGAATGGAATCCATTCAAAGCAACAGCTGTCAAAAGTTCTGCCAAGAAACTCAGAGTAATTGATTGCATCATGAAAGGTGAGGTGTTCAGAAGAACAAATAGTTCAATCATACTCTTTCCCTTCAAATTTTATTTTTTGCTTCAATCCAAGAGAAATATCTAGATATAAAACTCACTGAAGAAACATGTTTTCATACTTTAAAACCTACTAAGTAAATAAAATTCAGCATGGTAAATAGAAGAAACCCTTCTAATCTATTTTTAGTACTGCTAGAGGCTAGAGGACTTGACTTAGAATCCCTAAGATTAGCTGGCATCCCAACTCTGCCACTAGTTACCTCCTTCTATGGATTCTCGGGCTAGAAAATGCGGCTTCCCCACGAGCAAACTGCAGGAGACGGGTCCATGTCGCCTCCCCTCGGTCATCCTATTCTCCAATGAGAGTAAATGGACTTCCAGCTACAATGTCTCCTGTCCTGATTAGGTCCAAAGAACCTCTCTGATATTTATAAAGGGGCTAGATCTTTCCAACTAAAGCAAATGCAAGTATCTGCCTCAATTACAACATGCACTTCCATTCCACATATCTGCCTTTTGCTTTGGCTTCACGTCTGCTGGACAGGGAGGCAGCAAAAGCAGTAATGCCACACGTGGGTAGCAGGAAGCCTGCTGTCAATTCCTGCTGCGTGTTCTGCTGTGGGGCTCCAGGACCCTATGGAGGAGGAGCACTCAGCAACAAGCTTATGAAACCTCCCTGGACGGGGGCAACACCAGCCTTCTGTCCATTGAATTCTGCCCAACAAGCGGGTCTAATCTGGGCGTAGTTTTATAGAAGAGGGCTAATGGGGATTTCAAGAACTCAGCCTTCCTACAAATCACATTAAAGGCTCACAGGAACATTAACAGGAGTTATAATCCTAAATTAAAAGTGCATATCCTAAGAAAACAGAGGAACAGCAGATGAGCACTAGTCAAGTAATCATAATAGTGTGCATTTGTTTTTTTTTTAATCCACTTCTAAACAACTAATAAAACTGCGGTCACTGTTAAGTGCAGTCAAGAAAGTCGCGCCTAGACATTACTGACGTGGGCTCTAATGCACCATTCATCTTAAAATATGGGTGACACTACGTGACCCATGGGGCTTTATGTCCAATGCGAGTTTGTTCCTTTAATGAAAACCAAGCCAAGTAAACAAAACTCCAACATCCTAATTTGTCTCACTCTGGTGTGGACTTGATAGGGGGAAAATATCTCAACATTTCTTAAATGTATAATGAAGACTAACATTCCTTCGTTTGTATGCCTGCTTAATGGTTATGCAGCGCTATCTCGAGTGAGGGTGTATGTCCTAGAAGATTATGAGATGAAGTGCATATGTTAGTCTTTCCTGGATGGAATATTACAAATGGTAAACATGCTGTGAAATGTCTGCAGTGAGGACACTGTTGATAAAATTCGTTACGGCCCCCAGGTCTCAGAATATGGGAAAAGAGGTTACCTAAAAAATTTGCACCACCCATTTATAATCTTAGGAAGGGTTTTAAATGATTCCAGACACCTTCCAGAGGGACAGAGAAGGCAACCAAAAGAGAAGGAAAGGGAGAATAGAGAAATAGTTCAAGTTTTTTGATTTTCAAACTCAAATCAATTCAAAATCCTTTAATATGCACAGAATAGAACCACCAAGCTGTTTTTCTTCAGGAAAACATCGTCTGTTTGAGCCTTTCTCTTCTGTCATTAAGCTATTGATAAAGCTTGCAAATAAAATATGGAAGCATTAAATGCCTACTTATTCTAAGAGCCATCAATCTACTGAAACAAGGGCTCAGTCCCACATACTGCAAGCCTCTCTATCCTAAAGCACTTCAGAAAGGACCGTAGGCACACCATACCCCTCTACTGCAAGAATGGGTAAATCAGTAAAATGCACAAGAGACAGCATTTCTTGTAATCAGTCTCTCCAAGTGATGTTAAAGCAGGCATGCCCTGACCCCTGTGAGAGTCGATCATTTCCCACTTTCAACTTGAGTTTTCAGGGGGAGCAAGTGATCAAAGTTTCTACAGCATATGGCTTCTGCAGTATGAGCTCATAGTTTTACAACACATACACTGGAGTCAGTTGGGCTCTGCTGGACCATACATAAACGAACCACTTCCCCAGGGTACACTTCACACAGAACGGACAGTTGTACGTCCAGAGTGAAGATGCGTTTTCTTTCATTATTTCTTCGTACTCAATAGAATCACAATCCGGGTTAAAATAACAGAGACAAAAATAACTACCAGAGTTGTTGGACTGTTGGTAACAACCAGTTCTCCTTCTTCCCCAGGTTGAATACCTGGGTTCAAGCAATAAATATTTATCAGACCAAACAATCTCTTCAGCCTTTCGCATCTGAAGGGCGGCTTCCAAATACATGCATTTACAGATATGTTATCCCATGCAGGATAAAAGTAGAGATCTGGCAACTATTTGTTCAATTTGATTGGGCGAGGCAGTTCAAAAAGCAGATTGCTCTTGCCCAAAAATTTACATGAAAGGACTGAGTTCTGTGAGTTAATGGCCTAGCTGGGCCAAGTTAAATAGATCACTGACAAAACTTCCACTTTACAGAGGTGCAAAGACCCAATAAATCTCTGCCATTCAACACAAAACAATAGTTACGTATTATTTATAGCTAGATATAATGTCAAAATGGCACTAGAGAAGCGGTTTTTGGCATATGGTGGCGGAGGGCACAGTGCCAGTCTAAATGTGATGCTCTTGTTTTAGTTTTTGTTTTTATTATCATCATGCCAAAGACTATCCAGTTGGAATCCCAATTATTCAGGAAACCAACCTACTGTATTTGATATACATACAAAAATAAAACAAGCATCCTGAAGGTACTAGGTTATGAGGTTTTATACAAATCATAAATTCTTTAAATAAATAATGCTCTAACTTGTTTCCATTTGCTAGAAGATTGGTTTTTGGTAAGGAGCAACATCTAACAACTTGAGGAAGTACTTAAGAAGGGGAGATAAATTCCACCGATAATTACAATTTCAAGTGTGATAACCGGTTGTATTTTTTCCACCAGAGTAAAACATACAAGGGAACTACAAGAGAAAAGGAAATACGGATTATATTCCACTGCTCACAGCTTTTCACACAGTCTTGGACATCTATGACAAGTAGTTGGGTTGAAACATTCACAGGAAAGATCTTGGCAGAAAAAGTCACCCACTGTTACTTGAATCTCAGGGATTACAACACAGTGACTGGACGAAGTTGTTCCAATTGGTTTTCCAATGCAATCCGTTCTTGATGAACCTCCTGATTTGCACAAAACAGAGAAGAAAACAAAAAGCAAAGGGGTCATTTCCTGAGTTCATCCCTACTTCATCAGATATTAAACAGAAACTCATAAGCAGACACCAAAACACTGAAGTCCCACATGACTCAAGGACAAGTAGACTATACGGCATCATATTTAAAGCGGTTATCAGACAAAGGCAGCTTCACAATTTGTCATCTCTCAACTCCTTTCTGAAGACGAGGAAATGAAACTGACTGACACCACCCCCGCCTTAATCTTACTGGCAGTTTTAATAGGATCGGTGGCTGGCAGGAGTTGATGTTAAAAATCAACAGACAGACGGGGAGAGAGCAGAAAAGCAAAAGCAGACTGCTAATACTGAGAGGTGAGCCAGCAGGACTCAATTTCTAGCTGCAATCTCTCGTTTCTAATCCAGCACCACACCCCACAAGTGTGACGGATGAGCAAATGCACTGGCCGTCTGTCTGCCAAAATCTCATCTTGGCTCCTGCACAAAATACAACTTAAGGTGTGACTGCATGGATAACGGCAGGGAGAAAGAAACAGAGGACCATCCATCTGCTATTTGGGAATTCAAACTTTCAGTCCTAAAACAGATTTATTGGCAGGAAGAGAGGGGGACACGTAAGGGCATTCTTAAGTAGAATCAGTCAAGATGGGAAAGAAGTCTGTATAAAGGCTCAATTCTGAGATGCCCCAGAAGAACTAACATGCTAACCATCCAAACAGAACTCAGCAAGCGTTTGTTCACCCTCCCCTCCTACCCAGCCATCCAACAGTCTTTGAGGATCTATCTGCTATGGGCCAGATTCTGCTCTAGGTATCACAGTACCAGCCAAGAACAAGACAGATCAGACCAATGCCCTCATAAGGGCTTATACTCAAATGGCTAGAGAAAGACAATAAAGAACAAGATACTTTCAAAAGGAAATAAGAAAGATGAGGTAGTAGAGCAATCTGGAAGAAAGAAAAAAGATGGAGTGGGTGGTCAGGGAAGGCTTCTCAGAGGTAATGCTATCTGAGCAGAGACTTGAATGAACTGAGGGGTGAGCAAAGACCTTGTGGACAGAGTAAGGAGTCCACACACCACTCACAGTACAGGGGGGACAACACTGGGTTTTGAACCAGAGAATGCATGTGGCTTAACTTAGAACCCAAAATGTTCACTCCGGCTGCTGTGTAGACAGTGGATTGTAGAGCAGGACAGGGAGTAGTTGCAAGGTTACTGCATGGACCCAGGTGAGAAATGAAATGGCTTTGATCAGGGTAGCAGCCATAAAGATGGAGAGAAATGGATGAATTCTGGATGTATGTTGAGAATTTAGAACTGACAGGACTTGCTGATAACGTAGGAAAGAAGGAAGGCGATTTGGGACTGAGCGAGTAGCTAGTAGTGGTTAACTGAGAACAAGATTAGATAAGAAATCAGCATTTCAAAGGGAACGTTGGGAAGGAAGCGTGTGACATGTGTACTGGATGTATTAAGAGAGAATGGTGGGTAAGCAGTTGTGACTGTATGTCCAGAGACCAGAGGTAAGAGAAGCAGAACTGGAGACATAAATTTAGGGCCACCAGGCTATGGCTGATCTTCAAAGCCTTAAGACTGTAGGATACCATGTAGCAAACAAACACAGACAGGTTGCAGGTAAAGACGCAACTGAACATACATGCATGCCACACTCATTCCCTACTGGAACCCTCCCAAAACAATAAAAAAAACAAAAAAGATTTTGAAGTCACACACAAAACAAGTGATACCAATAAAATTTGTAAGCTGGAAGGCCAACGGATGACTAGTAAATGACGTAGCAAATCCAAGAAAAATAAACGTGGGCATTGTCCCAGTTGTTACGTGGCTGAATGGTGGGGTCCTTGCGTAAGGTGACCCAAACACCCCTCTGTTCAAGGGATTCTACATCTGTAAACTGAGTCAGTCTGTGAATGGGTTCAGAGGCTGGGACTAAACCTCCACTTGGATGATTTTTCCGATTTCTCCTCACTAGGGCTGGTACATTTCCACTCCTACAAATCAAGTACAGAAAACTAAAACACAAGCTAAGCATAGGCACAAAACAAGAAGCAGCCTGATTGTACACAGAAGAATCCCTGAAAGACAAAATGGCAGCACCAGACACCTGCATAGGTGCAAGTGCAGGGAGGAGGACTGCCTATGTGAGTGCTGCTTCCAAGCCGCTTCAGAAGCAGTTAGCTCCCTACATCATTCCTGCCACCAGGCCACAACACTGCAGATTTACTCCCTGAAAAGGAGTAACACAGGGCCTCTTGATAAGCAGTACACAGACGCAGTGGAGGACTGGAACTAGGGAGATTCCATGAATATCCTGGATACAGAGACCTACAGCCCTCTCTCTCCAATGAAGCAAGTCTTTCCCTCCACATAGGAGACCAAAAAAAGTCTCCTCTCTGGAAACTCCAATCAGACTAAAAAGAGTGAGCCAATGATAATGCCTTAGGAGGTTCCCCAACTATGCAGCCCAACCAGACTGCTATGGGAAGACTGAAGCTCAAAGCTGACAAGCCCACAACATGCTATGTGCTTCCAGTGAGCATTTTCATGATCCTCCTAAATATAAGCAAAGGACCATCAGATACTGAAGGAAAACATCTAATGAAAAATATATAATAAAAAAGCAAGTGTTCAGGAAGAAGAAAAATACCACCATTAACAGAAGATATTACGATAATGAAATGAAAATAGGATACCTTTATTTTTTTTATTTTTGTAAACATTTATTTATTTTTGAGAGAGAGAGAGAGAGAGAAGGTGAGCGAGCGTGAGCAAAGGAGAGGCAGAGAGAGAGGGAGACAGAATCCAAAGCAGGCTCCAGGCTTTGGGCTGTCTGCACAGAGCCCGAAGCAGGGTTTGAACCCACAAATTGTGAGATCACAACCTGAGTAAAGTCACATGCTTAACCAATTGAGCCACCTAGGCACCCTGAAAATAGGATACCTTTAAAAAGACACAATCAGAGAACAAAACCTGAACTCTTAGTATTAAACAACAGAATGAACATTTGAAATTAAGTTTCCAGAAATGGACAAAATGACAAAAATATAGAAGGACAGAAGGAAAACAGGTGATAAAATATGAGAGAATTAGAGGACCAAGCTAAGAGTTCCAATGCCCGAAAAATATGAGCAAGCGAGAAGAGAGAAAATGTACAGGGCAGTAGGAGGAAGAAACCTGGCGGATCAAGGAGGGCATGTGGGGATGAGCACTGGGTGTTATATGGAAACCGACTTGACAATAAACTATTTAAAAAAAAAAAGAAGAAGAAGAGTTTATATTTGTGTATGGTGTGAGAAAGTGATCTAGTTTCATTCTTCTGCATGTTGCTGTCCAGTGCTCCCAGCACCATCTGTTGAAGAGGCTGACTTTTTTCCACTGGATACTCTTTCCTGCTTTGTCAAAGATTAGTTGGCTGTATACTTTTGGGTCCAGTTCTGAGTTCTCTATTCTATTCCATTGGTCTGTGTGTCTGTTTTTGTGCCAATACCATACTGTCTTGATGATGACAGCTTTGTAGGAGAGGCTAAAGTCTGGGATGGTGATGCCTCCCGTTTTGGTTTTCTTCTTCAATATTACTTTGGCTATTCGGGATCTGTTGTGGTTCCATACAAATTTTAGAATAGTTTCTTCTAGCTTTGAGAAGTATGCTGGTGCAATTTTGATAGGGATTGCACTGAATGTGTAGATTGCTTTGGGTAGTAATGACATTTTAACACTATTTATTCTTCCGACCCATGAGCATGGCATGTTTTTCCATTTCTTTGTGTCTTCTCCAGTTTCCTTCATAAGTTTTCTATAGTTTTCATGATACAGATCTCTTATATCTGGCGAGGATGTGGAGAAATGGGCCCCCTCCTACACTGTTAGTGGGAATATAAACTGGTGTAGCCCCTCTGGAAAACAGTGTGGAGATTCCTCAAAAAATTAACAATAGAGCTCCCCTAGGACCCAGCAAGAGCACTGCTAGGAATTTACCCAAGGGATATAGGAGTGCTGATGCATAGGGGCACATGGACCCCAATGTTCATAGAAGCACTCTCAACAATAGCAAAAACATGGAAAGAGCCTAAGTGTCCATCAACGGACGAATGGATCAAGATGTGGTTTATCTATACGATGGAATACTCCATGGCAATGAGAAAGAATGAACTCTGGCCATGTGTAGCAACATGGATGGAACCTGAGGGTGTTATGCTGAGCGAAATAAGTCAGGCAGAGAAGGACAGCTACCATATGTTTGCACGTATAGGAGGATTAGGAGGAACTTAACGGAGGACCGTGGGGGAGAAGAAGGGGAAAAATAGTGGGGGAGAAGAGGGGAGGCAAACCATGAGAAATTCTTGAATGCCGAGAACAGACTGAGGGCAGATGGGGGGGGGGAGGGGAAAGGGGTGTTGGGCATGGAGGAGGGCACTTGTGGGGATGAGCACTGGGTGTTATATGGAAACCGACTTGACAATAAAATATTAAAAATTTAATTTTTTTAAAAAAAGAAGAAACATGGAGGAAATGTGCAACCATAACCAAAACCAAGAAAACTCTCAGAACTGAGGAAAAGGGGTTTCCAAATCAAAAGGGCTTACTGAGTACAGAGAACATGTAGAGGACAATGACCTACACTTTCAAAGCAAAGAGGAGAGAAAAACAGCAAATTAAACACAAAACAAAAACAAGGTCACATACAAAGATTCATAAAACGGTATGAAGTCTGACATTTTAAAAAAAGTTCTATTTTTATTATATGGTAAAAGTAACTTTTCTAGTGTACAGTTCAATAAATTTCAACATATGTATCTATTAGCATAACTATCACCACAAACAGGGTACATTACTGTTCCAACCAGAAAGGTCCCTGGCACTACTCCCTAATCTATAAACCCTCATCTTCATGCACAACCCCTGGCAACTACCAGTTGGTTTCTCAGGATCTAGGTTTTTGTCTTTTCAAGAATGTCAAATACAAGG